TCTTTATCCAAAGCAGAATCCAAGAGACAACACATACTCGTGTTTCGAACTCATTACTATGAGCCACTGAGCACTTACAGATACCATGGTTCAAAGATGACGTGTTTCCAAATTCCTGCTAGACAAAGAATTCACCCTGCATGTTGAAATTTCAGCTCAGACTGTTGAGTCCGTCTGAGCAGGCTTCTACTCCTAACTTCCTTGTGTGGGTCCTTGGCGACACCCTCCTCCCAGCCTCGGAGCCTGGAGATATTCCAGGAATCTTGGCCTCTAACCTGGATGCATCATGAACCGCCTCCCACCACTCCCCTCCTTGGTTACCTATCACCCATGCCTGTCTGAAAGCTTCAGCTTCACCCCAAACTTCTCAGAATGACTGATCACTATCTTCCCTCTTGTCATGCCCATTCTATGGCCAATAATCTCTCCTTGACTCTGCAGTTCTCTCCTTGTTTTGAGGGAAGAAGAGTCATGGTGATGTAATTCATTGCCAGTACATAGTTCTCCTGTAACCTTTCTATGAATCAGGTGACTAGGGCTGTTCCACACTGGTGCTGCTTTGTGGGCCTCAAGTTCCAGTGTGATGACAACTCCCCAAGGATGTCGTGGGTGAGCAAAAATCAACAACTCCCCAAATATCAGGGTGTTCCCATGAGCACAGCCAAAGTAAACCTTTCCTGAAAGATGCATTCTACCAACCAATGTGCCCCAGAGCATCAGGGCTAAGGATGTGTGACAAGTAGTGACTTGCGTGTTCACGTAAAGAATGACTGATGACGTTTAGAGCAACACTGCTAGAAATGGGTAGAATTAGACAACGTGGTTTGCCTTTCACCTATTGCTTCAGTTTTCAGAAAGTTGCCCCAAATGATTGCAAACCATTGGTACTTTTGTTAGCTTGGCAAAGGAAGCTGGCAGTATCAAATGATCCCTTGTCGAAGCCACGTCACGAAGCATGCAGAAAGCACATCATGTCGGAGAGACAGGACAAAAGGAGAGCAATTGTTTACGAACACCGGGGAAGGAGCCAACTCTACCCCAATGTCAGTGACCTTGTGGCTTCTCACTGCATTATTATTGTAATGATTAAAAGGTGACAAGTCCCATTTCCTGTAAGCCTCAAGGTGGGATCTAAGCTATGCTTAGGGAAAAGGAACAACAACAACAATTAAAACTTGCATTTTAACTCTGTGCCCTAACTGTGTCCGAAGAGCTCACAGAAGGGTCCCTTATAGCTACACAAATGTGTAGTAGCTACACAAATCCTTTCACTGAAGAAATTCAGAGACTTTTTCAAATTAAGTTGGAAAAGTGTATATATGACCTGATAAGGCAGGGGGAAAGCCAGATTTACATACCATATTGGTAATACCAAAGGATTTATCACTACAAATAATATTCAACTTATTTATTTTAAGCTCAATATGCAGTAAAAGTCACACTTTGTATATTATTTCATTTCCAGAATATTCTATGGCAAGCACTCTTCTGTGTAGCCCATAGGTTAGATTTTTTCCCTCCAAAGAATTAAATATTCAAAAGGAGTGATGGGAAATTAAGACCAGTTTCTTCAAAGTGAATGCAGTTTCATGAGGAATGAAGCAAGAGGCAAGAGATAGGTTGGTGGTTTCAAAAAGAAATGCAACTAGTCTTGCTCTGATTTGCCATCACCAAGAAGGCCGTTGGACAGCCATTAACAGCTTTAGTTACATCAAAACGAGGAGAGCTATTAGCTTGTGCTGGAAGAGGGTCCAGCAGACACCTGTTGTCCACTCTTATTTACGGGCAAGAACGCAGTCAGGGAAGTCTGTCTGACTTTGCTTATCACAGGAATCACTAGGACTGGAATAACAGCCAACAAAGTCTGGTTCTGAAGTGCTAACACAACACGGAGCCAAGAGAAGCAGCGTTCCTCAGAGCCTGTTGGTGGGCCAGCCGCTGGGCTCCTCACCCACCCAGGAGATCTGGCTGGGAGATTGCATGGCATAGGATCACCTTCCCCACAGGACAAACGATGATGTGACAATTGTCCAGATGTGCACTGCCACTTCCTTATCACAATACTGCCAGAGGCAGGGACACCATGACCTTACAAAACATGCTGAGGGTGAGAAACTCCCCCAGACATCCTAGCTTTGCTTTCAAGAAGGTCGGCTGACCCCCCCCAAGCCCATCAGACAACCTTCCTGCCATACCGAATGTCACAGCCAAGGGTAGGACTTAGCGCTGTACACACACATAGAGTCAAACAGAGGAGTTATTTATCTTATACAAGTTATATCAAAACAACATACATTTTTGGTATTTTCTTATTAAAAAAAATAAAAACACAATAGTCCTTTAACATGTTTGAGTTATAGTTGCATTGTAAAAACTAAACTATGCTTTTATTAGAGAGCAAGCAATGATAAAGCAGTGGAGTCCAAAACAGACTGGGTTGTCCCTAAGATATTTTTCTGAGGGCTAGTGTTCTGTGCAGTAAGCTGAGCCACACGCCGGGATGCCAGCACCCCCTATCAGTGTCTGGGTCCTGGCTGCTCTGCTTCCAATCCAGCTCCCTGCTAACATGCCTGGGAAGGCAGCAGAAGATGGCACAAGTAGTTGGGCTCTTGTCACGCTTTTATTCTGGCAGGGTGGCACCACAGCCTAATCTGCCACCCTGTGATGCCCGCATGGGCTCTGTCCTTGTCTGGGCTCCTCAGTGTGCATTAAAATATTGCACATGAATTATACTCTCAATTTTTATTCTATTGAAAGCGAGTAAATTAAATTTCCCTTAAACCCTCCTTATGATAAATGTGAAGTGGAAACAAATTTTTCATTCAGTTTGGGCTCCATTCAGAATAGCAATTCATCTTAAGGTTAGTCATGGAACTAAATAACCCCATCGTGGGATGTGATAAGCAGTTTTGTTGGGTAAACACTCAATTCACTGGTATTTCATTTTTGTGTGTGTGTGTGTTTTTAATTATTTTTTCAGTAAGTTGTAACATCTTGAAGATAAAAATCTACTTTTTTCCTGGGTAATCATTTGATTTTTTTTTTCAAGGCCAGGGGAAGTTGGTGGGGTAGGGCTGATGACTAGAACTAAAAGTCCACAGTGAGTAACTGACAGCACCTGCTCGGACGCTCCTCCACCCCCCAATACCCTCTTCCTCCAGTGTAAAGGGGCATCAGGGGCTGGCAGGTGGCACCACAGCCTAATCCTCCACCCCGTGCTGACTGCATGGACGCTGTCCTTGTCCGGGCTGCTCCACTTCCCAAGGAAAATAAACAAATGTTTAAAAGCAAAGAAAGAAGACATTAACAGTCTAAGTCATTAAAATATAAAGGCTTTGTACTCACTCCATCACACACACACACACACACACAAAATCACTTCTAGTGGATCAATATGACACATTGAGTAAGCCAGAAGATGGCGTTGAAGATTAGTCATCACATTCTAAAGACAGGTTCAAAAGACATCCCATCTCCGACAGGTTCAGGAGAAGATGGGTGTTTTGAACTTCTAAAAGGAGAAGACACGGATGAGAGAAGACAGGCTGGACGGGGAGAAGCCGCGGGTTGGCCATTTCACCCTCACAGCCTCCTGCTGGTGTGTCCTTGCATCTGCTCGGGTCATGCAAGGGAACACAAAGACAGAGGCTTCAGCTTTGTTCCATGATGAGTTCTGGGGAGCACAGTTCCCAACAAGAAGCAGGGGCCCCCCAAATAGCTGCCGAATGAAGGAACCTGTGAAAAGGCGGAGAGAGGAAGAAAAACAGGTTATGATCAGGCTGCTTTTCCAGTAACGAAACCCAGTTGTTTACTACCGACCCTGATCATGGAAAACTTACCTAGGTGCAACAGAAAGACAGCATCCTGTTCGTTTCTGAGAAAGTCGCTGTGTTTTAGGAAGGACCCCGGGCAATCCATACCTCACTGCCTGTTTTGCTCCTAATCTACACTTAGCTCTTACCCCCCTGCTGCCAGGAGACACTGCCTCAACCGAGAAAATACAAAGGAAAAAAAAAAAAAAGTAACTGAAAATCTTGGCGATTTGAAATGACCCGGGACAAAGGCAGTGTAAAAAACAAAAACTCTGCTGCTGTTTTTTGGGGGGGCGGCGGTGGAGGGATGATGGTGGGGATGGTTACCTGAGCACGTTGGCTGGGCAACCTCGCGGGTCCAGGTGGTTTTGTGGAGATTCCAGGGCGGCTTGGAACGCCATCACTCCTGTCCCAAGCATCCAGAACCAACTAGGAAGCTGCTTCTGACTAAGGACCAGTCAATAGCAGAGGTCCAAAGGATGGCACTCCGAGGTGAACGGAATCCGGAAGTGCCTGAACCCTCCTCGGATCCTCCGGGATTCCCTCAGCGGGCGGCCGCTCACGGTGCCGGAGGGGTCCTCCCTCCCGCGCCGCGTGGAGCTCCTGGAGGCGGCGGTGCTGGGGCGTGAGGCTCCCCCGACCCCGCCACGGCGGCCGCGTGAGCCGGTGCGCTGCGCTCCAGACGCCGCCGCCGCCGAGCGCGCTCCCGGGCCCCTGTCACACTGCCGGTTCTGTTTTGGACAACTCTTGGATCTTTAGATTTGCGCCCCTCCGGGGGAGGGGGCGGGAGCGCAATTCGAAAAACCCCTTGACCCCAACCAACATAAAAGGCTCTGGCGCTCAGGGAACCGCTCCGACACCCCGTGTGCACTTCCCGCCCCCGGCCACACCGCGGCCGTTTTGGGGCGCTCCTGGCGCCCCGCGGCACAACAGGCGAGTCTGGGTTTCGCGCCTCTCCCCTTCGCGGGAAACGGCCCTCCTGGGGGACGTGGAGAGGGGGGGAGGGCAAGGTCAGGGGCGCTCTCCTTCCGGCGGGGCGAGGGTCGGCGGCCGGGGCTGGAGCCCTGGGGCGCACGGCGCCCCCACCTCCCCACGGGCGGGTCCGCCCCCAGCCCGCCCCCCGCCACGCTCCGCCCTCCCACCCCCCCAGCGCGGCTTTCGAGCGCTATAAAGTTCCTCTTTCTCGCCTCACAGTCTTAGTTTCACCACTTGAACTTGGACTTGGCACCCACTGCAGCCCTCGACTCCCAGTCCTGGGCGAGGTAAGCCCTGGAGTCGGGAAGGAGAAAGGGGCTCAAATCCGGCGTGACAGAATCAGGGGCTGAGCGTGTGGCGGGGCAGGGCGGGTAGAGGTGAGAAGACCATGGTGGCTGTCCTGGGGCCGCTCAGGGCACTGCGCTCCGCAGCACCGAGGGAGCGTGCCCCATCAGGGCGTTCCTCTTCCCGTGGCACCTGTCCCGCGCTTAGACTCGGGGGAGGATGCTGCCAGCGTTTGCTCGGCGTCCTCGCGGCTCTCCCTCGCTCCTCTGGCCGCGCGCCACGCCGTTAGTCGGCCTGGAGGCGCCACGCGATGTTTGATAGGAACCACGGGGATAGGTGGCCCCTCTCAAAGTGGCCCCCAAAGGAACTCGCTCTGAGCGGCAACTTTGGCGCGAGGTACAGTCCCACCTGATCACTTCACGTACACTCCAGGCTGTTTGCTCTGGGTTCTTACAGGACTCCCAACTCTGTTCGGCCTGGGGTGCCGTGCTCCCTGGCTGATGGAGGAGGAGCCCTGCCTTTTGACGCCTCCACCCTTACCCTGAGCTCTCCCAGTTTCCATCCCGACCCCCTAGGCCGATCTCTGCGCCCTGGAATCTTGTGGTGCTTGCCTGCACGCTCTTAGTCTGGCAACGGGGTTTTGCCACCTGTTGCCCAGGGCTGCTGGATCCTCTTTTAGCTAGAGGACTTATTTGGGGGTAAACGTGCAAGTGTAGGATGGAAAGGGTAGAGGCGGGAGAGAGCTGGGTCGGAAGGGTACGTGAGCCCAGGAGTGGGCAAAAGTGACGCAGGCCATGGTAGTGGCCGGGACAGGTGGGGACGCGGGGACCGGCGACCGGTGTGCTAGAATGGAGCCAGAGGAGTTGGAAGGGGTCCCGAGGACTCCGTGCACTGTAAGGTACATTAAGGTCAAGGAGAGTGCTGGAAGGTGGGGCAGGAGGACGGACCCCTTGGAGGGTGCATTCCGAGGAGGAAGAGCCAGGCGCGTAGCTAAGGTAACCTTCTCAGCGGTCTCTGACCACGCTGATTCCGCAAGCGCGCACGTTGCAGCCTTTAGAAGCTCCTGGTCCAGGGACTAAAGCGCCGCGTCTCCTCTCTCTGTTGCAGAGCGCGGCAAGTGCGGGGTCAGCGGATCCGGGACGCGCGTGCACTGGGCAGTGAGCGGCACGCAAGTTGGGCATGAACCTGGAGGGCGGCGGGCGCGGCGCTGAGTTCGGCATGAGCGCGGTGAGCTGCGGCAACGGGAAACTCCGCCAGTGGCTCATCGACCAGATCGACAGCGGCAAGTACCCTGGGCTGGTGTGGGAGAACGAGGAAAAGAGCATCTTCCGCATCCCCTGGAAGCACGCGGGCAAGCAAGACTACAACCGCGAGGAGGACGCCGCCCTCTTCAAGGTGACTTGCACTTGGGTTGTCTGCCCAAGGGTCGAGGGTGCGGGTGCGGGCTCGTCCCTGGCCCCCACAGCGGTGCCGAGGCGCGCAGCAGTTCTCAGAGCGCAGGGAGGGGCACTGAGGATTGAGGGACCGGTGGAAGGCGACGAGGGTGTGGCGCCGGGAGCAACAGGCCGCGATTGGCCCAGCTCCTGCGTGGGAGGAAAGGCGGGGGTTTCAACTTCTCTGGTGACAGCGTGGATGGTGAGCAGGTGCAAGGCCTGGGATTATGGCGTCGGTAGCACCCAGGGAATGAGTGGGACACAGAGGGTCTTAGAGAATGGGCTAGGCGGCAGTGCTGGGAGGTCTCGGGGTCCTTGGCTGTTTTTCTGCAGGTTCCTTTAGTTTCTTTTGAGGTGTGTGCCTTTTGTTGAGTCCTGGGTGTGAGCTTAGCAAGCCAAGGGGACATGCTAGAGAATCTGTCCGCAGGGCATCCGCTTGTGTTCCCACCTAGACGGACCCTATTTCTGGTCCCTGCTAGACCTGTGACACGGATGGGAGAATCCACTGCACCCTTAGTAGCCCCCAGCCCACCCCCGCGATGTTCCCAGCACCTGTTTCTGCCTGGACTGTGCCAGGCTTGCAGGCTCTGCTAGCGACTGGGTCATGCTCTGAGCACTAGGCAGCATTCTCCCTCTGTGTGTGAACTCCAGCTTGCACATTCCTTTCTCCAAGGCTCACATTTGCGCTGTCCCCTTCTCTGCTCCCAGGCCTGGGCGCTGTTTAAAGGCAAGTTCCGAGAAGGCATTGATAAACCAGACCCTCCCACTTGGAAGACCCGCTTGCGCTGCGCCCTGAACAAGAGCAACGACTTCGAGGAGCTGGTGGAGAGGAGCCAGCTAGATATCTCGGATCCCTACAAAGTGTACAGGATTGTCCCTGAGGGAGCCAAGAAAGGTAGGGCGGAGGGGTCGTGGAAGTTTGACTTAGCAAAGCATCACTGGAGAGGAGCCTGGTTAACCCACTGTTCCCAGCAACAAGGACACAATGTCACCTTTGTGAGTGCAAGGCAGTTAGTTGGGGTGGTTGTGGCAATGTGGGTTCCTGGAGTCCTCTTGCCAAGCTTTGTGGGGCCAGGACTGGAACCCAGGAACCTGTGTTGTCAGCAGTCCACACAGCCTGGAAGGCGTCTCTCCTGACAGGGACCTTCGTGTCAGCCAGGCACATCTGCACACAGCATTTCCTGTGTCCCTGTCCCTGGGCATTCACGTCAGTCCCGGGAGACAGTGGTTTAGCGGTCGCACATCACTGCTTCACAGAGGTGCTGGAAACACAGATGCTTGATTTGTCAACACCAGGCCGTGTATGCATGATTTGTTTTTTAAGATGTATTTATTTTTATTTAAAAGGTAGTTACAGAGAGAGAGAGATCCTCCAATTGCTGGTTCACTCCCCAAATGGCTACAATAGCCATAGCTGCAGAGGGCTAGTCTGAAGCCAGGAGCCTGGACACAGGGGCCGACCTTCTTGGACCATTTTCTGCTGCTTTCTCAGAAGCATTAATAGGGAGGTGGAGATGCTGGGCATCAAGCCGGTACCCATATGGGATGCCAGCACCACAGGCAGGGTTGTAACCTGCTACAATATGGCACTGCCAGCTCTTCCACTCTCCATGTCCCATGCATGCGTTCTAAGAATTCAGCCCTCAGGTGTTTTCTCCCAGAGTATGACGTGGAGCTCACCCAGTTCCTGTTTTCACTCCGTGCCGTTTCCCTTTTTCCTCCCAACCAAGGAGCAAAGCAGCTCACCCTAGAGGACCCACAGATGACCATGGGCCATCCCTACACCATGGCGACTCCCTACACCACACTCCCAGCCCAGGTACGGTAGAGGTCTCATGGCCTCTGGAAAACAGGGTTGGGTTCTGTGTGAGACCAAGTGAAGATGGCAGGCTTGCTCGTTTGCCATGGCTGCTCCAATCTGTGGACCACAGCCCTGGTCAGAGTGGCCAGTCCATTGTCACTGTTGGTGAGGCGGGGCCAACTATGACTGCTTGCTGGGATGCCCTCCTGCTGGGAAACGGGCATTTGGTGGAAGTCCAGGCCTCTGGAAAGCAGGGTTTTGTCATGTGAAACCACAAGGCAGCTGATCTTGCCGGCCCCTCCTGTTGTTGAATTGTGGCTCTGTCCCATCCACTTTCTGGGTTAAAGAAGGCAAATTTCCCTGCAGGCTCCCTGGGGCCAGGTTTAGCCATATGATGAAGGTCTGCATAAACCACTGCTTGACAACAGTGTCTCCATTGTCCATTTTGTTTTTCTTATGTTCTGTGGTCGGCTGCCACTCTACTTTTCTGGATGATAAAATGATCTGACTGCAAGGGATTCCCTGCAGAGCTGGCCAAGCTGTGAAAGTCCTCGTTCCCCACCCAGTACTTCCTAATGCCCAGCTGCTCCATCTCAGCTCCCCTGTGTTCCTTTAGCAGATTCATAACTACATGATGCCACCACCCCCGGAACGAAGCTGGAGGGACTATGTCCCCGATCAGACACACCCAGAAATCCCCTACCAATGTGCCGGGACATTTGGCCCCCGCAGCCACCACTGGCAGGGCCCAACCTGTGAAAATGGTAAGGGACGTGTGCTTAGCCTGGTCTCCTGCCTCCCAGCTTCCGCCACCAGGCTGGAGAGCAGTGAGGAGTCCAATGGCTCTGCTCAGCTGTGTGTGTGTGTGTGTGTGTGTGTGTGTGTGTGTGTGTGTGTGTGTGTGTGTGTGTAGTGTGGGTTGGGTGGGCAGTGCTGGTCTGCCTCCTGCAGGGCAACCAAGAATGAGGCTGACTTTGGGGGTGTCCACGTCAGGCACTGCTCTCTCTCTCTCTCACTCTCTCTCTCTCTCTTTCTCTCTCTCTTCCTTGAGACTTTATTTTAAACACCCCAGAAAACCTCCTGGGCAGCTGAAAACTGTCCCACTCTTTACAAACTGTCAATGATGTACATGACTTACCTGTTGGCTTAGTGAGGCTGGGATTCTATTTCCAAAACTCAGGACCCCCCCAGGCAGGAAATTTCAGACACATCAAACTGGTTGCTCGTGTGTTTTCAAAAATTATCTTGTGTTATTCTTATTCTTATTAGCAACAGCATTTTCATCCTCCCTGAGGAAGTTTTTATACCTGGGACCCAAAGTGAGACAGGTTTGGGCTGCCACTCCTCTTGATTTGTCCTTTAATCCTACATAAGGACCCCAGGATCCTACAGTCTATTTCTGTATGCCCATCTGAGAAATGGGCATATGCCACAGCTCTGTCCCCACCTTTGCCTCTGCAGAGACTGTGACAGTCTGTTCATCTCGAACTGTGCTGTATCCATTGCAAGTATTCTTGGCACTAGAGCTGGAGGCAAGGGAAGCACAGCATGGAAAAGCCTAGGCCATCCTCCCAGGCTCCTGTCTGCCTGCTGGAGACTCCCAGGGCTTGCTCCTTGTGGGTTAGGTGTCCCAGACACCCCCTGGGAGTTCTCTGGCCATCAAAGCGAGCTGTGTCAGCAGGTCTCATTAGCTATGTGCAAAGAGGAGTTCACAAGGTGTGTTAATGGCAAGAATGCGCAAGCTTTCAGCACGTGGGGTCAGTTCTTCAAGTAGCCTGTGAGTTCTAGCAGCGTACTGGCTCATCCCTGTGTTCCAGGAACGCTGGCTCCTGTGTGGTTTGCTCACTTTCTTTCTCTTTCCTGCTCGAGTTCTGATCCGTCTCAGTGTCCAGGATTGCAGAAATGCATTGTTCTCCCACATTTGCGTTGAGTGGCATGCTGATCCCAGAAGCTCGTAACTCAGTTTGATTTGCTTTTTAGGGGTGATTGATAGCTGAATACCTGGGTATTCAGGTCAATCAGCTGACAGTAAAGTAGTGTACGGAGTTCAGACTGTGTCCCCCACAGCAAGCGTTGTTGGACTAATAGCAAGAAAAGAAGTGGTGCTTCAAATTGAGACAAAGGGCAGAACAGACATTGTATTGCACAGTGAATGCTAAAGGAAGGGCCTGCAAGTTAGGTTCTGTGAGATCTTTAGAGATGTAGCTCATAGCACACAGCTCCTGCCTAGAGCCCTGGTCTGCTCTCTCCTGGGCCCAGAAGTAGCTGGCAAGCTCAATGTGTACCGAGAGCTGTTGGCTTTTAACTGGGCTTAAGAACTCACACAGACCTGGCTGGTGGCTCTGCTGTGAATCTGCTGTGTGGCCAGGGACACTGTCTGCCTCTCTCTCAGCCTCATTTTCCCCATGTGTCAGTTATACAGAGGGAGCGACAAGAATAGAGACTTCTGGGTTTCCTTGAAAAACTGTTGTACAGCCTCTACCTCCCGCAGCTTTGGTTTTCCAGCTGGGCTTTGTCTTGGCTGCACAAGCAAGGACCCTGTGGCAGATTGGCGCTTAAAGAGTGCCGAGCATGGGTTGAAAGGTGGCTCGAAAAAGGGGACAGGCCTTCCCATCCAGCCTTAGCGCCCAGCCCAGGGGGGCCTCCCAACGTGCTAGACATCCTGCTTAGCCAACATCTGATTTCTATTTGCAAATGCAGGTTGCCAGGTGACGGGAACCTTTTATGCTTGTGCCCCACCCGAGTCCCAGGCTCCCGGAATCCCCATAGAGCCAAGCATAAGGTCTGCCGAAGCCCTAGCGCTCTCAGGTGAGTGCAGCGGTCGGTCTGGAGGCCCTCCCTTCTCCCTGCGGAGTCAATGGGGTGTGGAGGAGGAGGACAGAGCACAGGTGTACAGGAAGCAAGGAAATCGTAGCAGAGGAACCAGCCTGCGTTGGTGTGACGCTGGCACCTCCCAGCGCTGATCTGAAGGGATCCTGGTAACTTTCCCGTTGGCAGCTGCTCGAATTTTATGGACACCTGGCAGCACTCGAATTTCCTTTATTGAGCAGGGCACGGGGGAAAGTGGGGGTCTTTTCAGGGTGCAATAATGTCATTGGGGGAACCCAGGGAGCTTCTCATTATGAACTTAAAAGTTCATAATCCTTCCAGACTTAGCCACAGCCGATATTGCTCACCTGCTTCAGGGAGACACTGGCTCTGGCTCTTTGCCTCCCTTAAGAGTCTAAAGCCCCGAAGAAGCACGGAGTCAGGTTTTCCTCCAAATGCTTGCAGAACTTGAAAACCAATGGCAGATTCAATCTGGTTACTTTGAGTCCCATTGCTTTTTTCATTTTTAGATTTTTTTTTAAAGATTCATTTGTTTGTCTGAAAAGCAGAATTACAGAGGGAGAGACAGAAATTTCTTCTATCTACTGGGTCAGTCCCCAAATGGTCATGATGGCTAGAGATGGGATGACCCAAAGCCAAGAGCTTCTTCTGGGTCTCCCACATGGGTCCAGAGGCCCAAGCACTTGGACCATCCTCTGCTGCTTTTCCAAATGCGTTAGCAGGGATCTAGATGGGAGGTGGAGCAGCCAGGACTGTAAACTGGCACCCATATGGGATGCTGATAATGCCGTTGGAGGCTTTACCTGCTATACCATGATGCTGGCCCCATTGCAACCCCATTTCTAAAGGAACTTCTGCACCATAGAAATGAGAGCTCTTTTAAGGAATGCACCTGTTAGGAGGTTTGCAAAGCAAGTGTGGTGTTTGCGTCGTTACTTTTAAAGTAACATCTTGGGCTGTTTGAAATGGGATCAAGGATTATTTTTAAAATGAAGAACTTACGTTTCAAAATTCTCTCCTGGCATGCTGGTCCCTTTAGAAATCAGCGAAAGGAAATACAAGCTCCGTTTTCCAGGCTTGGGAAGACTAGAGCTGTGGCATGGTCCTGGCTAACCCTGCCTCATGCCGGGATCCTCCCAGTGCCCATGGCTGTGGAAACAGCAGGAATATCTGTGGCAAGGCTGGCGTTTGTTTTTAGAAATCTTCAAACCCTTTTTTTTTTTTTGAGCATCTAAGACTTGTGTGGGTGCCTGATGAGTAGGAAATAATGGCTATTTATATCTCAGAGATCTCGTGATGGCTGATGACATGAAATGAAATGAAACCTACCCTGGCAGTCACCTCTAGTGGCCAACACCCACACTCCCTGGACGCCTTCGAGTGTGCTGTGCTTTTGAGCCGACATCGAAGAGACACTGATGTGGCTTAGGTCTCATAACCTGCCCTTGAGGAATAAGAGGGTTTTGTGGGTTTCTTTTTTGGGGGTGTGCTTAAGAGATTCATAATGAACCCTGGGCACTTTTCTTAGAGAACTGTGATTCCCATTCATTTTAAATCCCGCGCAATGCCAATGGGTTTCCTGCCTAGGCTGGCATGTACATTCCAGTTAAGGTTCTCCTTGTAGATCTGGTTTGATCCTTCAGTGTACAGATGGGGTTGTAGAGAGAATTCTCAGTCAAAATCACGTGGAAACCCTCACCTGGTTGAAAGCGTTGGAAGGTGCACTGTTCAAGTTATTTTCAAATGTCAACACAAAACCCAGAGGGTTTTATGCCTTTGTTGTCTACGTGGGTCCTTAGAGCATTTTTCTCCTGGGTACCTTTCTTGTCATGAAAAGTCAGTTTATCGTGAAGACAGCACATGGTCAGGCTAGAAAGACCAGTCAAAAACCTCACAAGAAACACACTGGGGAAAGCTGAAAATGTCCCATGTCATTACTCAGAGATTGACACTGTTAACACCCTGTCCCTGCGTGTGGATGACCTACATGTGACTTTAATGACATCATAGCGATAGCTGAGGGAGGTCTCTGCACGTGTGTAAAGATACTTCCTTTTTTTCTCAGACCCCGTGGTGCTTTTTGGCCAACAGAAAATTAAATATGGGGCTGCACTCACCCCAAGTCAAAATCAATTTGCTTAAAAACAAATTCTCATCTATAACACATGCCTTAGTATTTTAAACATGAACAAGACCACCCCTGTTGTCATTACTTACTTAGGAAAAAAAAATGGACAGGTTAAATTCTTAGCAAGGTGTCCCCTAGTAAGAGTTGAATGTGTCTTTCAGAAAAGTTGTGAGGGACAAATAGACTGTCTATTCAAAAATTGAGCAAGTGTCATAAGCCATCAGGTTGAGAAACTACAAGGTGGACAAATTAGATTAGCTCCTTGGAGTGTCCAATAAACGCATGTGTGTGTGTGTACACATACACACACAGAATATGGGGGTCTGCAGTGGGGACACAAAGGGAACTTCCTCCACCTGGTACCCTTTACTTGTTCTTGGGGTGTCTTGAAGCATTGCTGTTCTGCCAGGTGCTTTGCTGACTTTGCCCAGGAGTGTACGGGAGCCCTGGGGCACCTAGCATTGACCCCAACAGTTTTATGCTTGCAGACTGCCGCCTGCACATCTGCCTGTACTACCGGGAAATCTTGGTGAAGGAGCTGACCACGTCCAGCCCTGAGGGCTGCCGGATCTCCCACGGACACACTTACGATGCCAGCAACCTGGACCAGGTCCTGTTTCCTTACCCAGAGGACAATGGCCAAAGGAAAAACATTGAGAAGCTACTGAGCCACCTGGAGCGTGGCGTGGTCCTCTGGATGGCCCCAGATGGGCTCTATGCCAAAAGACTGTGCCAGAGCAGGATCTACTGGGATGGGCCCCTGGCGTTGTACAGCGACCGGCCCAACAAACTCGACAGAGATCAGACAAGCAAGCTCTTCGATACGCAGCAGTTTTTATCAGGTAATGCGTCTCAGGAGCTGCTGGAATAGAGGTGGGGGTGGCGTGTGTGCCTTCTGGCCCAGGCAGAAGTCTTCCTCCTGTTCGCTACAGGACCAAGCTGGCTTTGCCACCAGACCATGTCTCTGGCTAATGCACACAGCTCACCTCTGCCCCAGGAGGGAAGGGAAGGGAGGAGGGTCCGGCTGAGCCCTGCTCGCCCAGGTGGGCCATGGCTTGGGCTGTTACCTGGAGATTCTGGTGGACATGGGGTTCTTCGGTGTCTTTGCGAAGTGACTTCAGTGAGCACCTAGCTGCTGGTGTAGCAATGCGTTTTCGAGTTCCTAGAAAAATTGTAAAGGTTAGAAATCTAATGTTAACTGTTTTTTGGTTGTTATTCTTTTTTGTTGTTGTTCTGAGATGTGTCATCAGGGACAGAGGCCATCCCACAGATGGGGGCCAGGGATAGAGTGTGCTGAACTGATTTAGCAAAGGAGAAATGGCAAGAGCTGCTAGGGGCCATCCCTGTCACAGGAACACGTGAAGTCATATTTTCCAGACGCAGGCCTCATGTAGGTTGGAGCCAGGGACCAGCTTGGGGATGGAATTAGTGACCGTGCCCTTGGCTGTGAGGGTCCGGGTACTGAGTGGGCACTTAGCTGGGTGGATGTGCACACCTTCAGGGAAGAGAAAAACCGCTCTCCCTGCCACTGTAGACTACCCATTCTGTGCCTCTGCCTTCTGCTAACGCTAGCTCTCCTGAGGTCACCCTCCCCTGCCGGACCACTCGAGGTCTCCCTGTGGTCACGTGTCTGCCACTATCCTGTACGTGGTTTTCTTTGGCTCACCACACGTAGCAGATCATCTGCGCACATTGCAGAATGGCTAGAAGAGTGAGTTATCACGTGCTTGACTTCACACATGGATCCCCCTTAGGTGTGTGTGTGTGGCGAGGCGGGGGACATGTCAAGCCTCAACAATTCCCCAGAGCGCTGAAGTCGGCATGGTGCACAGTAGCTCTCACAGAACCATGCCTTCTTTGCTTTTCGAGCGCTGTCTCTTTTGACCAATGCCCTTCCCCCCGCCAGTCCCTGGGAACGCCTCTTCTCACTTCCACCAGTTCGGCTTTTCAGAATATACCTGTAGGCCAGCTCAGACACTGTCTTTGTGCGTCGGGTGGACCTGACTTCTTCCGTGCTCATTTTGTTGCTGCAAGTGGCCAGATTTTGTTCTTTTTCCTCTGTCTGAAGAGTGCACCTTTATGTGCAGATACAGCTACATTTGCTTTATTTGTTTGTCCCCTGATGGGCAGACACCTTGATGGATTCCGTATCTTGGTTGTTGTGGACAGTGCCGGGGTACACACGATTGTGCATAAGTCTCAAATCTCCTGAGCACGCTTCTTTATGTGTTTTAGTTTCTTTGCTTGAAAGACAGACAGAGCTCTCATTCAACAATTCACTACTCAAATGCCCACAAGCGCCAGGGCTGGCCAGCCAGGCCAACACTTACAGCCAAAAAAATCTGTTAGCTCCACTATAGCAAGCCAAGACCAATGCCTTAAATCCACTTCCAGGATTCACATTACCAGACAGCTGGAATTGAGAGTGGTGCTGGGACTCGGACCCGGACACTCTGACTCTGCCATGCCGGCATCCCACGTGGCATCTTAACCACCATTGTGATTCCTCCCTGCCCCCATCAGATGCATTTATGATTCAAAACATTTGCAAATAAAGATAGGAGGCGTCTGGGCTCTTGGCACTGTTAACACTGCTCAAGTCTCCAGTGTTTCGATGACCCTAATCTGTGTAAGCTCATCCAACAATTCCTTTGGGTCCCAAAGCAAACCTATCTCATCTTCCCAAAGAGCTGTGACCTAGGAAAAAGGAGATCTAGCTGTAGTTCCCTGAGGCTGCAGCGTGGCTGCAGGGTTGGGAGCCCTCATTGCAAGTAGCAGAACTACTTCAAGCCTCAGTTTGAACAGTCCTGTCTGCCTTTGGGTAGAATGCCCTGTTCATGCTCATGGTGAAAGAGCAAAGACCCTTGAGGGACCATCTCTACATCTTTCCTGGAGCCTTAAAGAGCTCCCATGCCCTGGAAAGCTAGGAACCATCCCTTCTGTCCCCTCCATGCCTCAAGCTTGGAGTTCCTCCACAATTGTACATTTGGATTCAGAAGACAGGCAGAACGAAGGCCAGACCCTTCTATGAAAGGCATCCCAGGAAAATGGAACCTGCTTCTCTGAATTTCAATCACTGAACAAGTTTGAGGAACGTGGAATCCTCTCTGTAGAGTCACAGGTGCAGGCAAGAAGCAGGTGCCTCGGAGCATCCTGGATCTGCAAGTCCACTTACCTAGACTCTTCCTTTTAAGATAGATGTATTTATTTGCAAGGCAGAGAGAGAGAGAGAGAGAAAGAGAATGAGAGAGGCAAGGAGACAGATCCTCCATTTACTGGTTCCCTTCCCAAATGGCTGCAGTGACCAGCGTTGTCACAGATCAAAGCCAGCCAGGAGCCTGGATCTCCATCTGTGTCCTCCATGTGGGTGACAAAGACTTAGGCGCCTTAACAGATTAGCAAAGATCTGGATTGGAAGTGCAGCAGCCAGAGCTCCAACTGGCATATCTTATTTTGGTAGGATGCTGGAGTCACAGGCAGTGGCTTAATCTACCATGCTAGACTTTACTATTTATCTGGGATAAATAAGATGTTTTTTCTCCCACTCCTTTCTCTGTATTCCAGGGTTAGTTTTTTCTAACCACTGCAAAAGCTCTTCCATGAACTTGCTGCACCTGTGTACCCCAGTGTCTGCATAATGAAGGATTCCCACAGAACATTCTCGCACTATCTAGTGTTATCTGAAGCAGGGCTCTTGTTCAAAGAATTGTGCCAACTTGCCATTCTGATCAGCTTGTGTAGGTGTAATCTCAGGCCACAGCAGTGAGAATGTGGGTGACACGTTCTGACTAAGGCAGTTGGGTTTGATTTGAATTGAACAAAAGAAAAGGAAAAAAAAAAAAAGCAGGAAGTCAGTGAGTCCTGTGAGTTAGCTAGAAACTTCTTCGGTTGAAGAGAACTGTGGAAATCTTTGATATCTACCCTGTCAGGATTTGCACCCTGCAAGGGACAGCCCCCAGAGGTGCAGCCTGGAGCTGCACATCTGATAAGCACGTGTCTGTACAGCTGGGCTGCAAAAGGCTGGGGCAAAAGGGCGTCTCTGTGGATAAGACTCTTGAGTCTAGCTGCTGCCAGGGCAGGGGTCCCATTGGTCTCAGTTCTCCATGCTAACCGCTCTGTTTCATATATACCTCTGTGGGGAGGGGATAGGGTGTGAGGGCTAGGGTGACCTTGTCCCCTCCATCCTTACCCCAGCCTGTTCCTGTCGCCATTATTCCCAGCAGCAGGTGGGACGATACATCAGGAACTGGTGCTCCTGGTCGCCGTTGCCAAGCCACCACGTGAACACCTGGTGCCTGAGTCACACAGACAACCTAGAGAGCAGAGAGGATTATGTGGGCTCCAGAGCTGAGGGTTGAAGTATTCTAATAATCCTAGGGGCAGGCACTTGGTGCAGCCTTCCAGGGCCCACATCTCATCATGTGGAGTGCCTGACTCTGTGGTGGTAACTCCAGCTTCCTGCAATTGCGCATGATGGGAGGCCGCACGCAGGTGATGGCTCAAGTAGGTCACCCACATGAGTTCCTGGCTCCCGGCCTCAGCCTGGCCTCAGCGTACAGGCATTGCAGAAATGAACCAGCAGTTGGGAGATGGGTGATTTTTTTTCTTTCTTTGTCTCCTGCCTTTTAAATCACTCAGTCAGATCATCCTAGGGTGTCAGAGCATTCCAATATCTTCCCATGGTGCTTTCTGCTTTATATAAATCGTTTGGGGTCTTCACACGATCGATACCACAGCCTGTTTCGCTCTTGCCTTCACTCCTTTTGGCTCCCTTCTACAGAGAAGGGTTCTGACGCTGTGGGTCCAAGGGGAGCTGAGTGGGTGTCCTGGTGGGAAGAGAATGCCATGACCTGATGATGCCCTTGTGGATCTGGGAGGGTTCAGTGAGTTGGGGCTGTCTCCAGGGGGAATTCCCCCCAAGGGAAATGCAAGGCAGAATTCAGCATTGCAGCAAGCTCTGGCTTCCTGTGGAACCTGGCGTGCTAGGCTGTGAGGCTTTTTCTGAGTGTGGCTTTTTTTTGTGGGCTTTGTAGAGCTGCAAGCGTTTGCTCACCATGGCCGTCCGCTGCCAAGATTCCAGGTGACCCTGTGCTTTGGGGAGGAGTTCCCAGACCCTCAGCGGCAGAGGAAGCTCATCACAGCTCACGTGAGTATTCGGCTTTTTCAGTCGCCTCATGGAGTTTTCCTATTAAGGAGCACAGTGTCCCGTTCAATGTCAGGCACCCTGGGAAAGTGTCAACCTTAAAATAGCTGGGGTGGAAGTATGGCCCAGTGAGCAGCACAGCCGAGGGGTACCCACGTCACAGTGCCCTCCGCATTCAGTTCTGCTCATCATGGAATATTCTGTGAGTGCCTATAAATTGCTCCCCTTAGAACTGACGTTGTGGCACTGCAGTCCAGCCCCCATGTGCAATGCTAGCATCCCGTATTGGAGCACAGGGTCCATGACCCAGCTGCTCCCTGCTAAAGCACCTGTGAAAAGCTGCAGAGGATAGCCCAAGTACCTGGTCCCTGCCGCCTCTGAGGGGGACCCAGGTGGAGTTCATGCTTCCTGGTTTCAGCTTGATCTAGACCTGGCTATTGCAGCCATTTGGGAAGGGAAACAGCTGGTGGAAGATCTCTCTGTCTCTCCTTCTCAGTCATTCTGCCTTTTAAATACATCACCAGGCTTACCTGTGTGTTTTGTAGCAGCCCTCCAAATGTATCACAGCCCCTTCTTTAATTCTGAGGGTTTTTTATGAATGAATTAATGACTGGGCATATGTTCTTTTGAGGCTGCCTCTTGCAAGGAATTCAGGTATGGAGTCCACAGAACATTTTCTGGCAGGCTCAGCAATGGCACAGAAGCCTCTTTTTTTTCTTTTCCTTTCTTTTCTTTCTTTTTTTTTTTTTGTAGAAAAGGAAAATCGACTCTTAAATACCCCAGGGCTTTGAATTAGATGACCTCATGTGGTTATATTTCTTCGGGAGCTCACAGGCCCTTGTCATGAGCAGGGCCAGCTGATAAAGCTCTGATGCAGTCTCTCATTGAAAACTGAGGGGAACGCTGTCGCATCCTGAATATGCATCCCTTCCTTTCTTGATTGCGAAGGCCACCCATTGCCAATAGAATGCCGTGGACTTCAGAGTCCTCACACTTCAGAGTTCTCTCCTGATGGCCGTGGTGATTTCATGAGCAATGGGGACTCGTTCAAGTAAACTTGAATAACATTTAGGAGTGGATGCCAATGTCATGTTTGTAAGATACAATAGCTCTCCTGGGTTAGGCAAGGTCAGGTTCGCAGCCAAACACTCCCGAAATTGCTGTGTGGCCCATAAAAGAGAGATGTGCACACTTATAGGTTCGATTAATTTTTATTATGAATTCAGTTCACTTCATGTATTAATATTGGAGTTGTTGGTTCTATTATTATATATCGCATAATAATATTAGGGCCCCCATTATTTTAAAAGTTTTTTTTTTAAGATTTATTTATTTATCAGAAAGTCAGATATACAGAGAGGAGGAGAGAGAGAGAGGAAGATCTTCCATCCGATGATCTATTCCCCAAGTGAGCGCAACGGCCGATGCTATGCTGATCCAAAACCAGGATCCAGGAACTTCTTCCAGGTCTCCCACACAGGTGCAGAGTCCCAAAGCTTTGGGTCATCCTCAACTGCTTTCCCAGGCCACAAGCAGGGAGCTGGATGGGAAGCAGGGCCACCGGGATTAGAACCGGCGCCCATATGAGATCTCGGTGCGTTCAAGGCTAGGACTTTAGCCGCTAGGTCATGCTGCTGAGCCATATTTTAAAAGTAATAAAAATTTATTTGGAAAGTCAGAGAGATGGAGAGACAGAGAGCTCTTCCACCCATTAGTTGGTTTACTTCCTAAATGACTACCATGACTGGCACTGGACCAGGCTGAAGCCAGGAGCCCAAAATGCACATCTGAGTCTCCCACATGGCTGGCAGAGACCAAACACTTGCACCCTCTTCTGCTGCTTTTCCCAGGAAATTAGCAAGGAGCTGGATCAGCAGCAGAACACCAGATGCACAAACCCACTCCTGTGTGGGACGCAGGTGCCCAGAGTGGTGGCTTTATTTGCTAAGCCATGATACTGGCCCCAGAACTCATTTAAAAAGAAAAAAAAATTCAAACATAAAGAGATAGAATCTTCAGCTACTGGTTCACTCCCCACAAATGGCTACAATGACAAGGTTTGGGCCAGGCCAAAGTCAGGAGCCTGGAACTCCATCAGCGTCTCCCACGTGGATGGTAAGACCCCAAATCCTTGGACCTTTTCCACTCTCCAGGCACATTAATAGGAAGCTGGATCTGACATGGTGCGGCTGGACTGTGATGTGCCCCCATATGGGATTCCAGTGTTTTGTGGTTTAATGTGCCACACAACTCTGGCAGCCCATAAACACTCAATTTCATAGCATGATTGATTTAAGAATTCCAAGGAATCGCCGATGTCTTAATTCAGGACAAGCTGAAACTTGAGGGTTGTCTTGTTTTTGTTTTCTGGTTAATGTTGCCCACACTAAGAACTAAAGCAGATCAATCTGAGCCCAGTTAACTTCTCTTTTCCCACTGTAGCAATTTTTTGTTGCTTTGTGGTGCTGCTTTATTTTCCATTTGACTTGGATTTAGAATTATCAGATTACCTGGAAACCTGAAATCTTTGTCACACCCCTCATTCCCATCAGCCCTCGCTTGTGCAAAAACACATTCATTGCCCTGAGTCACCCTGAGTCGCATCTCAAGAGTTCCATGCCATTCTAACCATTTGACCTGATTGTTTTTAACCTTGATTATGTCACATGGCAACTAACTTAAACCAAGGTCTTTAACTTCAGTATAAACTCAAAATTGAGGCTGTAGATGATGCTTTTAGCTTGCTCCACATAAGGGCTGTCCATCTGTTCTTGGGATGGCTTCACAGCTGAAATGTATTAGTGCCTGTAACTTTGGACTTCACTTCCTGTCGCCTGACCATCTGAGAGCTCTTTCATGAAGGATTGTCTTGGTAATACGCCTTTTTAAAATCTCTCATTAAAGGTAGAACCACTGCTAGCCAGACAACTCTACTATTTTGCTCAGCAAAACAGCGGACATTTCCTGAGGGGCTACGATTTGTCTGAACACATGAACAGCCCAGAGGATTATCACAGAGCTATCCGCCACTCTTCCATTCAAGAATGAACCAGCATCCAGAAGATTGTTGTAAATATTGGACGAAGACAGCTGACGGACAGTTCTCTTTCCCCTCCGAGTCACTCCGCCGTGGGATTACCCCTGCTCCACGACTGAAAATCGCGGCAGGAATGGGGTGGGGAGTCAGTCCCTTGATTGACAGATGACTATTCCCAAAGGAGAGCCAATCTTCCACAAGTAGGCTTACGTCTGTGTCCTTGCAGACCTGCTCATGCTGACCGTGACTGTGAAACCTGAGCCAATGGTGTGTTTACATGCACTTCCGTGCTGTTCTCTTCCTTCGGTGTAGGATAGTTCTGCCTTCCAGACAATGTGTATGTGTGTGTGTGTGTGTTGGTTTTGCCTGCTGACTCAGGGGATTAAAGTGTGTGTTTGTCCCATTTCTCAGGGAAGTAGAGTGTGAATTGGAGAGAAGGTGGTGCCTTCCTGAAGTAGGTATCCATGCATGGAAAAGCTGGCGGTTGAGTGAAGGGAGCTGGGTCTTTGCTGAGTGTCTTCAGCTTGGGGCTGACCCCTCTCTCCACTGACCAAGGATCCCCTTATTCCCAGCGTGGGTCCTCACCCAAACGCCCTTTTGCTAGCTCTCTTCTGCCTTCCCTGGAAGCCAGCTGGTAGACTCTGTTGCCAGAGAGCATTAGGGTTGCTTTCGGACGAGATAGTCTAGTGCTCATGAACAATAAGCAATTTGTATTTGTTGGTCCATTTTTCCCAATGCCCCCACTCCCCTCTCCCTCATTCCTGAGAAAGTATCACTAAAAGCGTTTTCCTGAAAAGGGGCTCTGGACAGCCCCAAATCAATAGTGCAAGCATGAAAGAGAGTTTGGAAACTCGGTGACATTTCCCCTCTTCTGTTTGTTTGTTTGGCTACTGGTTGGCGACCCATGGCAACACTACAAGGGAGGAGCTGACGGCTCTTAGATTGGCAGACTCGATGCCTTGCGTAACTCGCCCCGTGCTATTTCTGCTGATTTGTGATTTAGGCGCTTCCTTGTTGATGACCCCATTTTGGACAGGACCTTCACATTTTTTACTTTCTCGGATTTTCCAATATACGAGTTCATAAAACTCCAGCAATCTTTACTACTTCCGTAAACCTGACCCATTTGCTTTCCTGTTACTCCTCTTGGTTAGCTGGACCGGTGTGCCCCACCGCAGCAGGAAATCATGGCCTTCCTTTCCTAGTTCAGCAAAAGATCTGGTAGCTCTCGAACACATGCCACGCCTGTCCTAAGGTGTGACAAGTGCATGTTCAGTGCCTGCTGTATCCCTGGTGAGCACAGGTTTTCAAAAGCAAGGCAGAGTTGGGATATCATTTCTTAGAATCTTTCAAAGGGAGCTTCAAGACAAGGATAAGATGTGTGAACCACAGAAGACGTCAGCACTGGCCAGCAAGAGGTAACACAGGTCCTTCTTTGTCGTTTTTTCCCAACTCGACCCCCCACCCCGCCCCCAACTAATCACTGGAAGTTCAGTGTAACCTTTGGAGCACATTTCACATTTCTGTCCCTGCAATCCACAGCTTTCGAAACTCCCAGGGTCACAGAGTTTCAGGCCATGTGTTGACCTAACAGTGCAGACTTAGCTCTGTCCTTTTGCAGACATTGTAGCTTGACTCTCTCGAGATGTGCCTGACAGGCTTCTCATGCTACATCACCCACTCAGCCCCAATTGGGCAACCATTTGTGTCCCCCCAAACTGCAATGATTTATACATCTTATAGATGCACAGTATTCTGGGGTATATTATCCTAAGGAGATATGAATTTATACATAGTTAATGCTGGTTCACAGTGACATCACTGGAGAACGGGAAGCCCACCCCAGGCTTCGCAGTTTCCTGCAGGGTCTGTCCCAGTGTGGGCATCTTCTAAGAGTTCTGCAAGCAGATGCTGTGTGAATTTTCTCTGGCTCAGAAGCTTATGCTACCTGAGCAAAATGGAAAATTATGTCAGTCTGGCCCACTCCTCCTTTCTGGTCTTCACACATGTATATATTGACTTTGTTGATTTTGAGGCACCTAAGGAGTTAACATCAGCAGGACCAGGAGGGGGTGGCAGGTGGCAGGTGGGGCAGCTTTCCTAGGCCTCTGGCTTTCTCACTCTTGGAATTGATCTAGCAGGATTTGCAAGTTGTCATGTAGTGTGGGAGACACCATGGAGAAAATCGAGGTGCTCATGATTTTCAAGAATTATGGATCTTGGAAGGGAGATGTATGACTCTCTCTAGTGCTGGTTTTTGCCTTGCTTCTTGGTCTCAGGATTGCAAGCATTTTAGCCCAAGCTGGGACAGTAATGAATGTTTTCTGGAATGCTCTGGAAATCTAGGTGACCAAATCACTCATGCCAAAGAACTCAGAATCCCTCCATCCTGGAGTGCACAGGGCCCAACTAGCCCAGTGCATCTAAGCTAGAAAGAACTCTACAACCCTATGATGGAGCAAGCGGCGACTACTGTGTAGTTCTCACCTGAGCAGCTTCTCTGCCGCTGCCAAACTTGTTTTTGGGGGAGGGATGAGATGGGATTGGGGGAAGATGGTCCTGGGACTTGGACCCACATGAGGCTTCTTTGTCTCTCCAGGCCCTGTGTACACAGTCTGGTGGTTTTGGGTCCTCACTGCATCCTACATGGGGTGTGATGTCCTGTATCCAGGAAGGCCTTTTACATTTGCAGCAGCTGCTTTTTCTTTTCTTTTTTTTAAATAAAAATCCAGGATCAAGGTCATATTTCTTTTTCTTCCCCTCAGCATGGTTCTTCCCCTAAGTGCCCAGAACGGTGCAATTCCTTGAGGACTCTCTTTTTGTCACTTATCTGAATGACCGAAGACACAAAAGCCAGCTACTCAAATATTGCATGGAGGCTGCTCTGCCGTATGTAGCATTTTGTAAATTCCTTTATACGCGCATCCCATCTGTCTCTGAGATGGAGTCAGGTCAGGGCAGGTGGGCTTCGTTCACCCTTGTGTTCTCTGAGAAGTCCGTCACACGGACGCAGTGAAGATCAGTCCCCAAATGCTTATTGTCACTGCTTTTAGGAACACATGCACCAAGAGTCCTGGAAAGTGGGAGTAGGGGTGGGGGTGGAGGAGAGGAAATGAGGAAAAGGGAAGAGAGACCCACAGGCCCCCACTCTTCCAATAGAAAACTCTTCTGCTTCAGATTCTTCGACATAAAAGGGACCTTCTAGGCAGTGGGGTTCACTTCCGCCTTCTTCCCCTTCGCGGTGCCCCGCCCCCTGTCTGTGGTGTGTGCACTGCTGGTGGTCAGTCCTGGCTTGAACTTAGAGCTCTGCTGATCATTCTTGCTGCTAGGACTTGCAGGTGAGCCTGACTCAGAACTGAGTGGAACATTCTGTGTTCAGTTTTTTTTTTTTAGTATGTCATGAATTTGGGGATAAATTGCCTTTCTGTTATGTGTGATAATACAATGTATTTAGATAGTTAAGAAATAAAGATTTTTTTTTTAAAGCCCTTTGAAGAGTGTGTGTGATTAAACTGTCATCACTCTCGCTTCTTAAATACTTCCTGGTCATGTGTCTCTGAGTGAGGCAGCTTCGGTCCCCTACTTCCTTCCTTCTTGGTCGTGGTGCATGTCCCTGAAATCAGATCTCAAAGTGTTTGCGTGGTGATTTTAAAAAAAGATTTATTTTATTCACTTGAAAGGCCAAGCTATAGTGAGAGAGGGGGAGAAGGAAAGAGGTCTTCCAGCCACGGATTCACTCCCCAGGTGACCACATGGCAGAGTCTGAGCCGGAACAAAGCCAGAGCCAGTATTACTGAGACTCTCACATGGATGCAGGGTCTGAAATGCTTGGGCCATCCTCTGCTTCTTTCCCATTCGTGCAATACTAGGAGCTGAATAAGAAGTGGCACAGCTGGAGACAAGCTTTGGGATGCCAGCTTTGCAGGTGACAACGTTACCCACTACGCCACAGTGCCAGCCACACTGTGTCTTGTTTTTGTTCTCAAATAAAGCTACAAATCTCGTCCCAGTGCTGGGCAGGTTTTCCACAGCCTTCACACCCACCTCCTCTCCCTTGAGCTGTGTTTTCAGTAGACCCAAGGCAGTTGCGTTTAGGGCTTGCATTTCCATTGTGAACCCTCCAGTTTTCTTAGTATTGGTGAAGGTGAGAAGGGAGAGGCACCGGCCTTATGGATGTCAATTGTACACAAAGTACGTAGGGCTTAGATGAGATCCAGGGGCCCCCCCTCCGTCTGCAGCTCCAAATATCCCTTCCCCACCTCCGTTCCCAAAGCTGTCTCAGTTGTCTCTGTTGGCTGGTGTTTGTTTGCATGGCCCAGCTGCTCGGCCAGGGGACTGTGTAGAAGCACAGGACAGCAGCCAGCCACGTAAGCTCCTTCACAGCCAAAGGGAGCGCAAAGCACAGGAAGGTAGTGTGGGTCTCAGATCCCCGAAATATTAGAAAAAGGTTTGAGCTTGCTAAGCAGCCACCAGTAAGAATAATGGAAAAAAATCAACTGTCAACCTGCTTCTAGGGGCTGTATTTGCTTAAGTCTCCAGTGAGTGAATGTAGCAATTAAAAAATAATAATAATTTAGGGCCCAGCACGGTAGCCTAGTGGCTAAAGTCTTTGCCTTGCATGCGCTGGGATCCCATGTAGGCCCAGGTTCTAATCCTGATGGCCCTACTTCCCATCCAGCTCCCTGCTTGTCTGGGAAAACAATCAAGGACGGCCCAAAGCTTTAGGACCCTGCACCCATATGGGAGATCTGGAAGAAGCTCCTGGATCCTGGTTTCAGATTGGCTCAGCACCGGCCGTTGTAGCCACTTGGGGAGTGAAACATCGGACAGAAGATCTTCCTCTCTGTCTCTCCTCCTCTTTTTTTATCTGACTTTCCAATAAAAATAAGATAGATCTTTAAAAAAATAATAATAATAGCTTAATTCAAATTTTGTACTATTATTTTTGAGTTTGTTATTCCAAATTATTGTTAGATGATTGATTATTTTGAGTAATTTTCAAAAGTCATTTCCTATTAGTTTTCCATATTACCCGTGTGTGGATAGTTTGTGTCTCACCTGGGACCTTTCCTGCAGTAGTTGCATAGCTCCTGCAGGTACTAACGTTCCTGCCGTTACTTCAACCGGTCCTTACAGCGCTCTGCGATCAGCAACAATTACCCAGATAACTGAACACCTGTAGTGCTCACCTGTGCCAAAAGACACGAGCAGACCCACATGATCCATCTCTCAGGGACCCAGGGGTTGTAATATCTCACTCTTTCTAGCACAGGCATTGCCTAAGTTAATCCAAGTGGATGGCTTTTCCTCTGAACTG